TTTTTCTGAATCCAGCCTTCCTTCCCTTCAACGGGAACATCGCTGCGCACGTAGAAATAATGCATTAGATTGAATGGTTAGCTCAGTGGTCCACAGCGAGCAGCTGGCTCAGACAGGAAGTGCTTTTTGGGTCAGGTATGATCTTTCTCTCATGTCTGATTATTCTTCTGTGCAGACAGCCATGTCTACAGTGTCGTTTGACCCTGACGCTACAACCCACACAGCTTCTGCACAAACTGTCTCCTTCAAAGTTACCTTACTGTAATTTACCTGTTATGCTGACAGCAGTTCTTTTATATTGTTACATCTGCTGGTTGGGATCTTTTTCTAGCATGAACTTCATTTTTCTTTTTCTTTTTTTACTTCCACGGGCTCATACAGAGGTACAGAAACAAGGAAGTATTGCATCAGCCCAATCCAAACATCCACCCAGTAGTGTGCAGAATGGCGAATTGGAGAGTTTGAAGAGTCTGTGAAAGCAAAGGTAAGCTTGTGATATTTCTATATGTAGTTTTATATGAAAAAAGCTGCTTCTAAACAGCCTTAATGTTGAACTGCTGCTAAAAAGAAGCAACACCCAGATTCATAAACCCATAAGTGCGCCTGCTATCTAACGCACCTTTGCCCTGTAGAGGTTTTATTTCAACAGCCTTATTTATTCACAGGTTACAGTGACTAATGATCTGATCTCTTGTTAGACACAGTCCTCCACCATTTGTGTGTTTTTGATGAAAACTGTTCAGCTCAGTCAGCTTAGACCAAAACTTCTGGTCTCAGACATCGCACATATTTGCCCTGCATGCGACAGTGATTAGAAATCCCAGTCTGCAATTAATACAATTCAAAAATTGTGTTTTTTTTCCTTCCTTTGATATTGTGGTTGGTTTGGGGTTAGAGGTTGGAGTGTCTGGGGTTTTCCTGGGGGGCTCAACCCGGGGGCTGTGGTGGATCTTGGGTGGTGTTTTCCTAGTGGCTGTGTACAGGAGGGTTGGTGGAGGGTCTGTGCTGGCAGATGTAGGTTACTGCCCTGGTGGCCTGGCTGCCCCTGGGTGGGTCCAGGGTGGGCTTGGGGTTCTGGGGGTGCTCCATCTCCCTGCTGTAGCTCTGGCTGAGCCTTGTTGGCCCAAATGGTGATGGCAGAGGTCCAAACTGCTCAGGCACCCGCACCGGCCGCAGGGTGCAATCAGCCAAGACGCAGCCTGCCGTTGCACTCAACCCCACTCCTCGGGTGAGAGCGGCTAGCTAGCTGAACTCGCCGTCTCTGGGCCCGGGGCCGGGGGTGCCGACTGTTCGGTCTGATTCCCTCTCCCGTTTGCTGTAGGGGAGTAGGTTTGGCCAGATGGCTCCCCAGCCTCAGTTGGGTGATGGGGGTATGTGGCAGGGCATGGTCAGTGGCGCCGCTGCAGGTTTGGAAAACATACCTGCAGGGCATCCACAATGACACCTCTCCGGTGTCAGACTGAACTGGGTTGTTGTTATGGATTTGTGTCGCTGGCAGCTTGGGTGCAGCAACCAAAATAAAGTCAAATGTTACCAAAATCGTGGTCGCGTCATGCCTCCTTCCAGCCACAAGCAGAAATAGTTTTTTTGATAGAGAATTCTTGAGAACAGAGTGCTTGAGGTATCTTTATGGTGCATAAGACAATGAAACTAAACTAGCTTTCATGTGTCTTTCACAAAGTTTGGGTGTGGTTCTTTACGCTGTTCTGTGCAGTCATCTGGGAGATGTTACATAGACTGTCATATTGCTTTTTAAACCATGTCCAGTCAGCTGAGTTTGCCACAACTGGACTAACACATTATGTAGAAATGTCTTTAAGTTCAGAGAAACTTTATAAGGCACCTCAGCTAAATTTCAACTGTCTTATCAAAGGGTAAGGCTTGTGTCATTTTTATGCATTTATAACATTGTCTGAAATAGGACTGGGCGATATGACCCAAAATTCATATCTCGATATTTTTTAGCTGGATGGCGATATACGATATATATCTCGATATTTTTTTAGCTGGATGGCGATATACGATATATATCTCGATATTTTTTTAAAGCCATAAAGTAAGAACAAAAAGAGAGTTCTTAGTCAAAGCTGTGTCCCAGATGTCACACAGGCACTTTTATTAACATACAGCGTAGATGTACATGAAAAAATTACTCAAAAATAAATTATGAGCATTTATTAAATAATAATGCTCCATAAATAAAACAATGTTGTTTTTGTGCATAACAAAAAGCTCACAATTGTGCAGTCAAAATGTAAACTAACAGATGCTGAGCATAATATCAAAGACAGATTTCACAGCTGCTCTGCTCCCAAGTTCTACTGCGTGACTGACAGCCTGGAGTTTTACGTATCACTCCGCGAGGCTCCAGACTACGGCAGCCGTAATGCTCCGACAATCCATCAAGCGGTGCAGCTCCGTAGCTTACCAAAGTCGTACTAAAACATTTTTTGGCAGATTGCTGAGCGCTATGTACCACATAAAATCGCTTCGCGGTCATCAAGCACAACCAGAATTCATACAGAAAGGCGCGCTGTTAACTTTTGAGAAAATTAAAGGATTTTAGGC